CTGAGCTACGAGAACTCATGGAAAGCAAGGTCATTTAACTGAGTTCATATGTGACAGGCGTCCTGCATACTGCTAGGATCAGCACTGTCAAAGTCATTGTGAGTGTGATAAGTGAATAAAGATGGTGAACTTTAAGCTCGGTAATGAAATGTGAAAAGTGAACTGATCAACATGACACGAGCATGGGACAAAGAAAAAAAAATCTGAGTCTCTGACAGGAATCGAACCCATGACCTCCCGTACACTGGGCAGGTGCTCCATCCACTGTGCTACGAGATCTCATAGAGAGCAAGGTCATTTAACTGAGTTCATATGTTAATGTCATGTGTATTGATTTTCAGTTGCGAGATCTCACACATGTGATTGTCAAGGAATACTTTACTCTTATCAATGGACCAATAAATGAGGTTTGTTTTTTTGGTGCAGACACCGGTAGTAATATAACTACATGGCAATAAGCAGCATCCCAGCCTCAATGGCTGCTTGGCCAGTAACATGATAAATCTTAAAGCCTATAGTTACCTACCAGACTCTTATGAAGACATTCTTTTTGGCATGTCATGGCAACATCTTTCCCCTTAGAACGATTGTGACAAGGCCAAACAGTGTCTGTGACGGAGGCTCCTGCCTCGGAATGTATTCTCACCCAGGCTGTCTGTTTCTAACATTTCAGCCTACAGCCTTGTTTGGACTTCCTTGGCCCCTTTATGGCTCATCCTAGTTTCCTTCGCTGCCATGCTACTGATATTAACACACAAGTGAATCAGCAATAACTCATCTAGTATCCGTTGCTTTGTAGGTCGAGGTAGCAAGGGCTAAAAAGCAGCTCCAATCCATGTTGATGATGAATCTAGAATCCCGAGTTATTGTATTTGAGGACATAGGAAGGTAACATTGTGCTTAGTTTCATTGATTTATAGACTGCTTATAATTAACTTGATGCCAGGTGGGGCACAGTGGCAGAGGACTTCATAATTTCTGCACCTGACTTGATCGAATGCAGACCCTGCGATTTCACGTAAGGGCCAAGGCAAAAAGATGTTGTAAAAAGCTACTGAGTCTCTGAGAGACCTGATAAAGTGCTTTACTCCTGTTTGTGATCATCCAAGTAAATGATGCAGCAGCAATACGAAATGGCAGTGGTGGAAATGGATAAAACCGCTGGCGATAAAGAGAAAAAAACAGCCTGTTGTAATTATGCTGCTTGAAGTATAACAAAAAAGAGTAGTGAGATAAGATAATGACTCAGATCATGCAATAAAAATCTTCGGCAGTAGACTGTAGAAGATCTAGTTGGAAACTTGGTTGATTTTGTGTTTTTTTGTTGTTGTTGTTGTTGTTGTTTTTTCATTCCATGAACACTAAAAACATTGTTGTGAAAAAACTTTATTGTTCATTGTGGTAAGATACAGCAAGGTTGTAGGATAAGCTAGTGCTAGGGTTACCCTAGCAGGGGGGTTAATCTAGCACTCCTACATTTCATGGACGTGTTTACAAGGCAGGTAGGGTAACCCTGGTGGTAGGGTTACCCTAGCCATAGTTAACTATACCCTAGCTGAGCGCTAGGCTTTTTACCAGGTTAAGAAAAGCGGGTAGAAGGGAAACCCTACCTGAAAAAGTTTGCTTGTAAGCGCAGGCTATCTTTGACCGTCTTGCTTTAGTATCCCTAACATTAGGGTTGCCCTACATGCTTTTAAACAGGATCTCTGAATAAGAAAGCATATCATTTGTCTTACGATGTAGTCACTAAGAGGTAGATCCCGAAGTTTTGATTGCTTACTGCTTGACTTTATCAGGTGATGAGGTCGACTGATTACTCGCTACCATTCCGATAATTTTGTTTGTTAATCTTAAATATGACTTTTCGAGAGTGAAGATAATTTATATTCTCTTTTCCTTTATAAGGCAAGTTCTTGGGCTCCACAAAAGGAAGTCTGCTCAGGAGCTATTCCAAAGCATTGGTAAGAATTCTGCATCATTCAGGTCTCGTCCACACTACACCAGAGAAATATGAAAGAGCAGCATTATTGCTCCGGTTGGGCCCACCATCCACACTATTCCATCACGAAAACGGAGCTTTTCGTACGTTTGTTTTTCTGTAAATACTGTGCAATAATAAGAACTGAACTGAAAACGAAAAACTGAAACTTTCGAAAACGCTCTTCAAACCGAAAGAATTTGAAAACGGCGGCTTTGGGTTTTAGTGCGGGCGGAAAGCATTTTGAAAACGCAGCTTTTCGAAAGCGACGGCATGACGATAATCAGGTGATTTCCCTACCAGGGTTTTCCTCAAACACAACCGGAGATTGTGTCCCACATCGTTTTCAGGGTCTTCAAGTAAAAACTCACGTAAGCTTATTACACTATAAGATCTTTTCATAACCTTGGGCGCTTTCGGGCAGTCGACCAAAAGTTCAAATGGTTTGAATTTCCGGAAATTTTCAGCAGGGAATTGAATATCATTTAACTTCATTTACCGAAAAAGAGGACAACCTTTCGAGGTATACGGTGAATTTCCTTTCCATTTGATTTTCATCCCGGAATTTCCAGGATTTTCGGTTGAATTTTTCGGAAACTTTCCAAGGAAGAATTTTGCTTGAATGAAAAGCGCCCCTTATATCTTGCCACTTATGCCTTCATTACATGTTACTGCGTCTAATTGTCATGTCTGAATTATAAAATAATGCCTTTGTTTTTCGTTCTTCAGAAAACGTCACAGTCGATGATATTAAACGCGTCAGCTCCCGGATGTTAGCGTCCAAACCTTCCGTTGCAGCACTTGGTAACCTGACCAACCTACCCAAATTTGAAGAGATCGAACGTGCGTTTTGTAACCGCGGCACCTTTAGCGGAGCATCACGGTTTTTCCTTTTTAGGAATTGATGGCATGGAAACCAATCTAGGCACTGTTTTCATCATGCAATCATACATCCATGCATGTTCAAGTATTCATACAATGATGTACAACAGTTGGTTGCCAGCACGGCGGGAACATTTTAAAACGTCAACTAAACAGGAACCGGCGTTCGCTTTTCTAACACACGCCATTGCAAAATTTTCCTTCAGCTGGTAAATGGTCTAGTGTGCAAGCCTTGTCCAAGTTCATAAACACTGGAGATAATGAGTGAAAAATGAGTTTCAGAGCACGAGAAGAAAAGGGTCACACTCTTCTTCTCGTATCCTTAATTTTAACCCCCCCCCCCCCCCCCCCCCCCCCCCCCCCCCCCCCC